GAGTCAGAAAACCTAGCTTCTTATTCAGGCATCAATAGTTGTGTGTGCATGCATTTCAATTTAATAATAGACAACATTTTCCACATTTTGAGACCTTTGAAATCAGACTGCTTTATATGACCAGTGGTATCTTAAAATTGGAAGCACTTTTTTCTTTCTTAGTGGTACATAAAATAATGATATGTCATAACTTTTATGGTATCTTAGATTAACTGAAATACAGTAATTTGCTTAGCAGCATTAGATAAATCACCTACAGTAGTTTGTGCCTTGGGATGAAAAATACATGACATATCTTGCAATGTTAATAATGAAAAATTGTAGAAAACATATCAATGTATACTTTAAACTTTAGGAAATGGGACTGTGACTTATACAAAACATTGTTTTTTAAAAATACTCAAATGTATATGTGGTAAGCATATTTTAAAATAACAATATTGAGTATTTATATACTAAAAGATCATTTATATTATTATTCCACTGTTACAACTAAAGTCATAAGGAATTACTATATTTAGATTGCTTCTGAAGACACTTAAAACTAATGGCGGAAAGAATTACACAAGATTTCTAATAATAGCCCCTCCCAGCCCATCCCATAAGTCCCCATAGCCCAAGGTATCTATTTTACATGATGAATTAGCCTCTCCCTTGCATCTAGAATGGTACTCTGTACCGTTCTTAGTAAATTGGGTAAAGTAGTTACTCTTGTAATTATTTGTAGGGCCAAATTTTCTACTGGAATGCCAGTTGGAAAAGGTTGGCTAGAATATGAGTTGTATATACTTTGGAAATATATTTTGCTGTAAATCATATCACCATTATGTACAGAAAAGTAAAGATTAGAGTAGTGCTGATTCTTACCCACATTATTGAAGCAAGATTTCTGCCAAGTCATATTTGTTAGCCTTATTCTAGTTATTACCTCTGCTACTACTAACATTAATCAATGTTAGGATAAATTAAGTTCTTAGAATTATGAAAAGTAAAACTAACAATGATGCTAGTGATAAAAAGGTATTACTGTGTTAAACACCTCCTGTTACTTATTGAACTTATTACCACAACCCTATAAGGCAGGTACATTACTTCATCATTTCTAAAAAAGAGCAAACTCAGGCACAGCAAGAGTTGGGAACTTGTCAGGGTCAAAAATTAGAATTCAGCAAACTGTGAATTGAACTCTGGTAGTCTGGCTTTCAAGTCCACATTGGTAATCAATACGAATATTTAAAAGTGTGTGTCTCACACATTACCAACTGAAAGTGAAAATGTGGGTTTACAGAAAAGCATAAGTTAGGAAGTTTCCGTTTTTAAAAAGGGCCTTTTATTTTTAATAGGATTAACAGTCTGTTATATTGCCCAGTGGTTGTCAACAAAGTAATGAAAAGGAGTACTTTCCTTAAAGTACTGTATGCTTTACATTAATTCATGTAGAACTTAATGAAGTAGTAAACTTTAGAGAGACTTCGTGAATGTATTTTACATTATACATAGTTATTCTATTAATAAATTTTGTGAATAAATAGTATTTATTTTTTTCTTTTAAGTATAGATGGGGAAGATGAACAAAGTCTGCATATAGGAAGAGACTTTCTAAGATTATCATGTACTTTGTTCTTCTTTTAGGAAAAAATTCAATATTGGTACAGGATTTGCCAAAAAAACTTATTTTTCCTTTGTTTTAGAAGGAAGAAACATTGAGCGCTGTAGATTATTACTGTTTTCAGAATTAGATTTATTTACCAATTTCAAAGTTTTCTCATTTTGATAAACCCTACTGCCAGTTTCTGGACCTTATAAAAAAGTAACTTTAGTCATTAATAGTGTATTGAATTAAATTGAACCAGTTAAAGATGAGGAGGAAGAAAATTTGGTATTGATTATCATAGAAGAATAGAAGTACAGTTTCAAAATTTTTTTTTAATTCATGACTTCTTCAGCAAATACAGTTAAAGTACTTATGGTGTTTAGAAAACAAATATGATTGATGTTCTCATTTCTTGTTAGAAAGCAATTGAACTGAACCCTAAAGATGCTACCTCAATTCACCTTATGGGTATTTGGTAAGAAAATTTATTTAAATATTTCAGTGGTATTTAGTATGGTCTTAATTTGTAGATTATATGCATATCTTATTTTGTAGTTTTTAAAAAAGCAAGATGCAAAAATATCTTAAAATATTATTTGGTAGTCAAGAATGTAATCTATTACATTAACTAGTAGTTGTGCATTTAGTGTTAGAAAATACTAAATTTGATTGTGATCATGTTAAATGTGTTACTCAGATCATTTAGAAACATATACTAAGACTAAAAAGTGATTAAAAATTTTTGTTAGACCATTAAATTCCCTTTGTTGGGAAAGACTATTCTTAATTACCAGGCTAAATGAAATTGGATTAATCTGACTATACAGTAGGACCCAAGAGGGTCTTTGTATCTTAAAGCTATATCAAATACAGTCTGATTCTTCTGTGGAACAGTGTAATCTTTCAATATCTTTCCATTTGCTTAATGACATCATTCTTTTGCTGGTATGAGTGTGCACCAATATGTTAAATGATTGCTGGGTTAAGAGTCTTATTTCTAAGAGAGGTAATGGTGTAAACAGTCCTGTATCAAACTCTTTTAAAAGAAAGGTAAATATCCTTCAGAATAAAGAACATATTAAACTAACAAAACATTGAAGACTAATGATTGAGGGACAGTCACTAAGTAGGTGCTAGGGAGCAAACATGAATGATATATAATCTCCACCTTGAGGAGTTCAAACTCTAGGAAAAGATCCAACATATTTTTTTCTATATATTTTAGGTAGTTGTCATGATCTTTGGATGTTAGTCATTTATTTCATCCCTTTAAAGACATAAATTGTTAGTTGCCATTTTTATTTGCATATCGTTTTTAGTTTTGTCATTTTTTTAAACTTCTCTGAGTTGGTTTTAGTTACATTTTTCTCATGTAAAAAATAGGAGTAATGATCCTAACACATTGTAGATAGCTGATTATCTGATAATCACTTAGCTCAGCACCTTGGTACAAAGTGAATACTCAGTGGTATTATTACTAGTACTGTCTGTCACTTACTATTTATATTTAATCACAAGATGTACCCTAATTGATGGATCAATGTAAGTCATTTTCTAAGTAATTTAGTATGAATATTGACCTAGTGGATATTATGTAAAGTACAAATTGTCTAAACATACAAACAGAAGATTCCTTTTATATCTGTTAAGAAGCTTAGTTCTCTTTAAGAAGGAAAAAAAGGTAATTTGAATGTATAAATGTTATTTTTTTTCCCTATAGGTGTTATACATTTGCTGAAATGCCTTGGTATCAACGAAGAATTGCTAAAATGCTTTTTGCAACTCCTCCTAGTTCCACCTATGAGGAGGTAGTGTGACTTCCTTTGTTAAGTTAGTACTGATTTCTTAATTGCAGTGCCATTCTACAGTGTCCACACATCTGGAGCTTTGATCAGTGAGGGACTTGAGCACATTTCTAATGTTCCAGTGCAACTCTCTTAATCACAAAGGCTTAATACTTACTATCCATAACTGGTGAGTGGTTTTTTATTCTTTAGGTGAAAGGCTGTTATTCTGGATTGTCAGCTGAAATAGTCTGTGGCTAAAATCTACCTTCATTTTCTGTTTAAAATCTATACTATATGAAAGTCATAAAATAGAACAAAAAATGCAGCAACTGTACTCAGCATGCTTTAGGTACACATTCAGTACAGTAATAGGCATTTACCTGTAAAGTCACATGTTCACATTGATAAAGGAAGAATAATTACAACTTTTCTTTAAAAAGCAGGGTTGAAAGGCTTGTATTGTATTCTCTCAGATTTTTAAGGCCTTTTGTTTCTTCTGTTAATAAAATTTTGAAAGGGATTTCTGGGCAAACATTTTGGGTTTTCTCATCACAAAATTTTCAGAGGGAAATAGGCAGTTGAAAAAGCTTTCCCAATAGTTGAATCATAACAAGGAACACCTTTTTTCTTTTCCTGGGAAGCTATAGTGTAGAATTCAATGTAAAGAATAGTTGTATAAGAAGAGCACAGTTGGAAATTAAAAAGGATGTATTCTAAGAAAAAAGCAGTTGTATTATAACAAATGAGTTATGTGTCTAAGATATTGTCAGTTAATATGTTATACAAACATTTTATGTAGAAATTTCAGTAATAAAAGACTTTAAACAATTTAGTGATACAACCTATCACTGAGTGAAATCAGCTTTTGATTTTATCTAGTTTTTTTACTCTAAGTCACTGTTATGATTTAAGGAGAAAAAGATCAAAATAGCTGAGTTTCACAAGATAATGTTCTTTCCTTTCTGTACATGATGCTGGGTTGGTACAGGTTCTAAACAGTAATCAAGTTACTACTCAAAGTGGTCCACATATTGTAATCCATGCTCTGATGATTTAATAGTGTTATATTCAGTTTGTTAACTCTCACTGTTGATGATTTTTTTAAAGATGTTTTAATTTCTTCTGACATATTTAATATAGGAATAGATCTCAAGTAAATGCTTTTAAAATATTGATTCTGTTTCAGTCTTTTCATTATGTTCATGCTCTTTGTGTTTTTAACAGGCCTTAGGCTACTTTCACAGGGCAGAGCAAGGTAATATTTATTTTATTTCACATACTAAATCTTTAAATTTGTATGAATACTTTATATATAATAGGAATATTTAAAACAAAAATGTTATTTATTCTGATACACATCTTCTTGCACTAGACATTATCAAACAATTTTTAAAGTCTTTATTCAGTAAAGATTGCCTGAGCAAGAAATAGGCCACTACCAGATTTAGAGCTTCAGTTTTGGAATGGTCCTTCATTTGATGTAATTCAACCTTCCTTTTGGAGACGAGGCTTTGACAGGGTAACTGTCTCATTGAAGATTTCACAGCTATTTAGAAGTACTTTTTTGTTGAGCTATTTTTGACATAGAATATTATATCAATTTCAGGTACACATCATAATCATTCAATTTTTGTATACATTCTGAAATCACCACAATAAGCCTAGTTAACACCTGTTACCTTAATATAGTTACAAAGAAAATTAATAATTTTTCCTAAGGTCTGTTCTCTTAGCAACCTTTTGAATGGCATTTAAACTAGAATTCTGGTCTTAAAGCAGTCTAGTTTTTGTTTTATTGTAGCTTCATCTGTGAAGAGTTTCATGTCACTCTTGCTTCAAAGAAATGGCCAACCTACTAAACTGACACCAGCCCATCCTACATTTATCCTTTTAAATATTAATAACACAAACTGGAGAAGGGACATGAGCATGTGTTACCAAATACACTTAAGAAAAAACATTATAAGTATATTTCTATAGAACTTAATTGGAAGAAAATTAAAGAGTGTTTATTAAATTGAGAGCCTACTAATAGGGACTATTTCAAATGCTTTCATGATAGCAAAGCATTTAAAAACATTTCATGATAGCAAAGCATTCAGAAGAATTGTGTCTGAATGTTAACTATGTCTGTAATAGACTCAATCTGATTTACTCTGTTACTGCCTTCCATTGATATCCTCTAATTATACATATCATGAATATGAATTGAAATGAAGTTTCCTCAGAGGAACGTAGAAGTATAATTGCAAAGTAAAAATACAGCTTTAGAGACTTAAGGGTTTGGAGGTCATACTCTTATTAAAGAGCTAAAATAATCCTCAGTAATTCCAGTCATGCCCCAGGTTTTACCTTACAGGTCACTTCCTCCAGGTGGCCTTTCCTTGTGGCCTGTTTAGTTTAGAAGCTCCTCTTATGCTCTGAGTACCTTTTACTTCTCCCATCATGGCCCTTATTGCTCTGTAGTGTGAATATTTGTTTACATGTCTTAAGACTGAACTCAGGGAAGATAAGAACTTTTGTTTTTTTGCTTACAATAGTATCCTTATTGCTTAGCATAATAATGTTGGGCAGATTTGCTGAATGAGTAAATACATGAATGAATGAATTTACTTAACCCTAAGGAAACCTTAAGTACATCAACTTGTTACCTCACAAATACGTTCAAATTAAAGAAGTAAAACAATTTTGGGTTAAGGAGCAAATGGCGTTAATCACAAATCATATCCTGGAAAAAATATGTTTTGAATATAGAGAGTCCCAGTTTGATAGGAGGAGACTATTTAAAGAATTAATAAAGTCAGTCCCATGCTTTCATTCTTAGGCTTTTTAATTCACTTGTCCATCAGCCAAGAATGTTCTTCACTTTTCTGCTAAAGTCCTATACAGCTTTCAAGTCAGCTCAGGTATTACCTTGCAAAAGTTAGCTGCTTTTGTCTTTGGTCTAGTAACACTTAAAAATTTGTACACCTATCAAGCATTCCTCTCATTCTTGTATGTTTAGTTGTGCTCATGTCTATCTCGCCTTTTCATTAGAAATTACAAAAGAGGAGAGACTTCATTTCATCTGTACCTAGGTATAGCACATGTTCAGTACATGTTGATCAAAGGTATGTATATATAGATACCATGCTTTCATTCATTCGTTGATGTATACAGAGTACACATTATGTTCCAGGCACTGTTCTAGACATTAATACAGTGGAGAACAAAATAAATTCTAAAAAGAAAACCCCTTATGGAGTTGCAGTCTATCAGGAACCTGTTTTCTGTCTACGAAATGGAGACCTGTTTTATAAGTGTTGCAAAAATGAGAAGTATGTGTAATGTAATGCCTAGCACATAGTAGACATTCAATAAATTATAACTTTACAATGTTTTTTGAGATATGTATAGTTAGGCAAAATAGAATTACGGTTAGCCTAATCATTTGTCAACCACACAAACTTATTAAAATTTAGACCCCAAAGAAGTCTTTGAAAATAAGAACAATACTGTTCTGAGATAAATTTGTTTTCCTTTTTTTAATGTACAGTGGATCCAAACTTCTACAGCAAGAACTTGCTTCTTTTAGGAAAGACATATTTGAAGCTGCACAACAAAAAGCTTGCTGCTTTTTGGCTAATGAAAGCCAAGGATTATCCAGTGCGCACAGAGGAGGATAAACAGGTAGAAAATCTCTATTAAAGTGAGGTAGATAGGTTTCCATTGAGACACTATTAAGTAGTGAATTAAGATTTTCTTTAAAAATGTAATTGTCTAAATGCATATTGTTGAAAACTGTTCATTTCAAATGTGAATTAACATTTGCATTAATTGCTGTATATATAGCAAATGTGTAGTTACTATTAACAAAGATATTATGAATTATTTGCTACAATATAGAATTATTCCTGTTTGACATACATAAAAGACCAAGTAAGATTTCTAAAATATAAAAGGCAATAGATGTGTACTGATGTGGAAGAGTTCTCTAAGAGTCCCATCCATTTTGTTAAATTTTAATTTTAAAATGTGCCATCCTGTTTTTGGAATGTTGGAAACTACAGTGTACTTTACTAACTTAAATTTCACAAGTTGATCTCTGTTGTACTATTTATTTATAACATATATTTTTCAATTTTAGATACAGACAGAAGCTGCTCAGTTGCTTACAGGTTTCAATGCCAAGAATTGAAAATTTTTTTGAGAAGTACATGAAATATCTAAGAAACATTGCCTTTTCATCAAATTATAAAGATAATAAATCAACCATAACTGTTCTAAGGTTGTTTTCTCAGTTCTTTTAATGTTGTGACCATTTAACAAATTAAATACACAAAACTCTAGGTTTCTTCAAATAAGGCAAAATGAGTAAGTAATTGCTATAAGAGTGGTGGAGATATCTCTGTGGCTAGAGTTAGAGGTTACTGCACATCTGGAACACCAGCCAACACAAAGTGGCATAGATTTCTAAGGAGGCTCGATCACATCAGGATGGGAGATAAAGAAAAAAAGGCTTTTTGGAAGAGGTGGCATGTCGAGGAGTGCATTTTCAAGTTGGACTGATTCAAAGTTAAGATGATGCAGAGAAGGTGTAGTGAAAATGAGCTTAGGATGCTGAGGTTCTTGGTATGAAGTAGTTAAATGATGTTATCTTGGAGCAGACCTGTATAAGGAAGTCAGGAAAGGACTAAAAGTGGAATGGTTTCCTTTTTTAAATGTGATGTAGTCTTGCAAGTGGATTGATGTTTCTCAGTAGACAAAGCCCAATTTCTATTCCCTAATAGAGCAAAAGGAACATAGAATTCATGGAAATGGAATTTAAGATTAAATAGGTGGGGCCATGCTATTTACTTAAGGCTAGGGTCCCACCACAGGAAAATCTTTTCTTAAATCCCACTTAGATAAATCTGAGAGTGTACGTTAGGTGGATTTTTTCCAAAGTACTCGGGAATTGTAATATTAAGTGGATCATAAGTGTATGTGCTGTCTTTTATCATGTATATTTTCAAACAAAAAGGAGAACATAGTATACTGGACTTGTATACCCATCTCTGATTTCAAACAATTGCTCATCTTTTGCTCTACTTATATGTGTGCATATATTCATATTTTTACTTGTATTTCTAAACCTTTGAAATTAATTGCAAGAATGTTTTATTCCTAAATATTTCAGCATGTGTTGTCTCAGACTAAGGACATCCTTCTAAACACAAATCCATTATAAAACAGTAATTCTTTAATATCATCTAATATCCAACCATATTCAAATCTTCTCAAAAATCCCAAAATGTCTTAAACTTTTTAAAACCAGGATTCAAAGGCCATACAGTGCATTTGATTTTCCACCTTAGTTTTTTAAAATCTGGAACAGTTCCCTCATCTTTGTTTTGCACATAATTGATGAAGAGGCCCATCCAGTTGTCTAGAGATTTTGCCTCACTCCAGATTGGCCTTACTGACCCCACTTTGAGAATCACTGTTCCATCTTATTTTCAGAGACCCCAGTTCATTATTAGTATATTAATCTCCTTTGCCTTTTATGTTTGCACTTTATCTTAATTTCATTTTCTTGACTTTAGTCTTCCATGACCCGTATTTTTTATTTTGTTTTTTTCTTTAGATGCTTTTTATCTTCATTTCTAAGACTTTTTTTTCCAGATTTTTCCTGATTTCAGTCAGCCAGCATTTCACATATTCATTGTCTAGTTCCGAGTTCTGGGATTTCTAATTGGATATTTTTCTCATCTGCAATTACTTATTTACATTTAATTCATATTAGTATAGTGTGTTAAAGAATTTTACTGTGTTTTCTCTTAGCATTTTCATCTGAAATTTTCTTTTTCAATTTTCTCTTTAGAATGACTTTGTTCTTTTCAGAAGTTGTGATTATTTTTGAGTTGAGTTACCAGCAGTAATACCAGGTAATCGAATGGGAAGTGAGGGATTGGGTTAATTAAAAAATATCCTCTGCTAAGTAGTTTATGTGAAATGAAGTGTCTTTTGTAATATAGCCTTCTATGGAGGGGAGGGCCTGTCTTCTGATATCTTACTATAGAGCTTTCAGAGGTATTTTTACTTTGAAATAATTATAGCTTCATAGGAAGTTACAAAAAGAAAAATAGTACAGAATTCTTGTGTATTACCCCCCCCCAGTAGTAACATGTAACTATATATAGTACAATATCAAAACCAGGAAATAGGTACAGTCCAAAAACCTTATTCAGATTTTACCATTTTTAAATGTTCTCATTTGCATGTGTTCTATGCAGTTTTGACATGTGTAGATTTTTCTAACTGTCACCATGAATATACAGAACTTTTCTATCACAAAAATCCCTAGTGCTATCACTTGTTATACCCATTCACCTCCCCTCTGCCACCAGCCTGGAAACTACTCATCTATTCTCTATAATTTGGTCATTTCAAGGATGTTATGTAAATAGATCATACTATGTTAACTTTTTGAGATTGGCTTCTTTTAGCATAATTCCTTTGAGATCCATCTTAATTCAGTCAATAGTTTTTTTCCTTTTTATCATTATCAATTCCACTGTACGGATATACCAATTTAACTATCCACCAAAGAGCACTTAGGTTATTTCCAATCATTGGTTACTATGAACATTAGGTATAGTTTATATCAACATAGATTTTCTTCTCTGGGATAAGTGCCCAAGGGTGTGGATGCTGGGTCCCTTTATAAAGCTGTTATTTTTTCCCCCCTTGACTAAGAGATAGCTCCCTTCTCCAGGATAACGATTACCTTTCCAAGATTCTGATTCTATGCATTTTCCCACTCAGCGGGAGACCTACTAGAGAATGAACCTGAGCACATTATATTCTCTTTCCTGTGCAGTCGCTGTTCATAGTTGTGTCCAGAGCTGACTGCTCGTTTAAGACTTTTATTTCCCCTCGTGTGTAAACACAGGTTGGTAGCATTCTGTCTTCTCAATGTATTAGACATGGGTTATAGGTGACTTTATATAATTACCTCACCTTGTATATGTGTCCTTCCCTATTGAAATGAGAAGAAATCTGAAGTTGGAAAGCAGCTGTTGTTACCATGTAAGAAGCCAAAAACTCTCAATTATCTTCTTGGCTAATTACCCAGTTGAGTGTTTAATCAGACTGTGAACTTTGTAAAAATGACTTTCCTCTGACTCACTTTGTCTATAAAAACAAGCTTCACTACAACAAAGAAAAAGCAAACAAAAACCACACCAACCTCATGGAGTTGTGCGGATTAAAGTGAACATGAAGGATTTACCATGAGTATTATTAAATGTTTTAAAATGCTATTATAATCTGATTGTGTTCTCCTTGGTTGATGTTGGGGAAACTTTGAAATGTAGGAGATGCCACTTGTGGACCTGTTTTTGTTGTTGTTACATTATTTTGTGGGTATTTTTTGCTTTCATATGGTGCTCATTATACAGCCTATTCTGGATTGTGCCTGGGCATTACTTGGAAGCAGAAATAGGAAGGGGTTGATTACTTTGGCAAGGGTTGTGTTGTTAACTTTAACAGATGTCCTGTTCCGAACTATTGCTCTGCTCTGAGAGCAGCATGTGTCTGTCTTGTGACTGGATACAGAGGAGCCACATAACAGTAAAAAGCTCCTCTGATAATTTTCCCTTGAGAGACAAAATCTGTTAACTTGAATTAAATGGATTAAGAAAAGTGAAGCGTGTTGTTAAGAGAACCTTTATTTTCTCCTCTGCATATTTCAACAAGATTTTTGTTTGGACTTCTGTAGTGTCCTCCAGGAGATCTTAGATTTGATAAATGATCAGACTAAAACAGCCTACAGTAGGCTTCATTTGGCACCAGTTTACTCAGAAGGCTGTGGGACAGGAACCATAGCTGGCCAGCAGGTCAGGGTTAGGCCTCCTTACATTCAGAAAATGACCTGATAGCAGCAGTCAGTATAGCAGAGCATCCATACAGCTCCAAGAACTATCATCTCCCCAGGTGACAGCTCAGGGACTTAATAAGGGAGATGCACTTCAGAGTTTCCAAACTCTGGAAGTCTAAATCTTTGGTTTCCCATCCAGCATCCTGAGTTTTCGCAGTCCAGATGTAGCTTACCAGTCAGGCTCATTTTTAACAGAAGCAGCACTCCCTGACAATATTAATATTGTTGACACAGACCACCTTATCTAGTTTGGGGGATAAAAGGTAGGTGGTTAACAAAGGCTGCAGGATAAATGCTCCTGTTAACCATTTTAGCTTTAACTGCCTAGGAAATACTACACTTGTAGCTTCTCTCTAGGGAAGACTGGTAACTAATTTGACTGTTGAAATTGTGTCGTGCCTGTGAGCCTTTAACAGGGCTCAACTGACTGGTGGTGGTGGGGAGTGCTGCTGAAAGTACCATATAAACGTCTGAGCCTCCCTCTCTCGCCTATTTCCTCAGGAACTGTGTTCAGGCAGTGAGCCTTGCACTTCTGTCTGTGTGCCTAGCCCAGGACACGGATGGGAAGGGAGGAAAGATGAGTGATGGGCCCCATCACTGGTTTCTCTCATTGTTAGTGAGTGGACACATCAAGACAATCCTGCCTATTATAGGCCTGGATTTCTACTAGATATGAAAGGTAAAAAGACCCAGTAAACTCTAGCCATCTCCAGAAAGCAGACTGTATAGCTGCATCTGGCTTTTTCTTACCTGAAGTGAGAAGGGGGGACCAGTACCCTGAAAGTCTGTCTTCAGTCATATCTGCTGACTCACTCCCATTATAGCAAAACTCATCCAGCAGTGGTGCCTTAAATGGTATAATTTAAGCAGCCCTTTTGAAGATTCTACAATACCCTCTGTTGTAGAATTTGTCATATACATTAAACTCAAAAATACTCAGTGTCAGTAATTAGGATTTGTGAAAGGAGTCTGTTCAACCAAGTGGATCATTGCCTTTATTTCATTTTTTACTACGAATTTTGAATAAAAATGCAGAACACAATCTAAATTGTAGAAAAATAAAATCTTGGCAAAATAAAAACTTTAGGGCAATTGTATACTAATATTTTCTTTATGTACTTGGTGAAATATGTTAGATAACATTATTTAAAAAGTTAATGAAATTTACAGTGCTCATGGTAATGATACAAATGGATATTAAGATTTTTGTATTAATAAGGAAGCCCAGTTTGCTAAAGTGGCATTAATATCATTCACATCAGATTTTCTTAAACATCTTTGTAGTTTAGCAAATGCCCTTGATAATGACAAAGTATTATTAGTGGAGAGGGACCAAGACTGTTTTATATGCTTATTTAATTCAGATACATAGAATTTTCATGAATTTAAGAGGAATGCAGATACTCAAATACTAATAGAAAATCATTAAACTCATCTGAGTATTCAAATGCTTATGTAACTCTTTAATCCACTGTTTTCTAAAGCTGAAACTCTAAACACAAAAGTGGTAAAGTTCACATTACCTTTTTATATGTTCCTAAGTATCAAATTGCACCAATTATGAATTAAGTTTAAAGAACATATTTAAAAATAAAAGTACAGAAATGCCTGATTTTTTAATTTCCACAAATACCTAGCATCCCAAAGTAACATGTAAACCTCTGTGCTGCTCAGTGAATCCTTCCCAATCTCAGAATAAACTAAATGATACTGGATTAATATGTGATGTCCATTAAACTATGGTTTCATTCCTTTCTTTGTATTAGTAATGTAACAAAGAGGGAAAATTTTCAACTACTGTATTTATTTAAAATAAACTGACAGGTTCAGGTACCTGTTTTCAGAAAAGCCAGCAGCATTTAATGCACTCATAGTAAGATTTGGCCTAAGCCCTTAGTACCTTCCTGAACAGCCATGCAACTGAACACCTTCAGGAGATGTTACATAAAGGGAGAAGAACATGGAGCAATTTGTACTTTGTCCCCTGGATAACCGAAACAAGGTAAAGCAAATTCAGCTATTTTTTAAGGAACAGCTTCATGTTTAATACACTCTGAGCTCTATAAAACTAGAGCCACTATCATATATGCTTAGATATCTTATTTTTAATAAAGTCTCTTGCTTCATGGTCTTTATCCTGGTCAGTCATTTCAAGGGAACAATAAATAAAGTAGAAAAAGATGAATTGTTTTGCATATTTCTGTGGAAGAACGGAAAACACTTTAAGAGGTTCAGAAAATTCACTGTACAGAATGAACAGCTTATACACACTATCTGTGCAATTTTTCCTGGCTTGAGTATTTAAATGCAAGTGTTACTTCAAGATGAGAAGCACATTCATTCTTGTCCAAATCCTTCTGTCTCTTCTATTGCAAAAAGTAATTTTTCCTTTAGTTGTTCATAACTCTTATACGGTGGTAGGTCCAAGCGGTTAAAACTGAACAGAAACAAAATCAAAATCAGATGCATTTTCAATAAAACAAAAAGATTTCTAAAACTTTTTAAAGCACACTTGGAAAAAAAACTAAATGGATAGAGGAAGGATGTAAAAATTTTGCCCAGAGTATTCTGACAATTTGCTACTATAGAGTATAAACTAATATGTTAACATACAAATTTCTTAAAGCAGTATGTACACATTGAAGACCTATTCATATTTTAACATTTCCCATAGAAAAACAATTACAAATAATCATAGAAATATGGATAAAGACTCTGGAACTTGTTTTTAAATCACTAATTTTCTCTTTTCTATATTTTTGTTACACTGTTCATCTGACCATGCTTTATGGCTTTTCTATGGTCATGAATGTTTTTTCTGCCTATGAAAATATTTACTCATTAGGAATCAATCTAAATGCTACAGCTTCCTCCAAGAATTCTTGAGCATCTTAAAAAGATTTAGTAATAAGCTCTTTTTTCCGTTTAAGCATTTATTCTGTAAGACTGGTTTCTTTCATTAAACTCTAAAACCCACAAGGGCAGTCCTCTCCTCTCCTAACACTGATCTTTTTCACATATAGTGGATATTAGTAAATGTTGAGCTACATAACAAAATGGATTACATGAAAGCATCCAAAAACAGGATTCGGTCATAAGATATTTAGCCATTACATTTTGTGCTGGCTTACAAAAGGACAGAAACATGCTAAAATCTATTCATCTTTTATTGAGTACTTGTATGAATATCAGAATCCTGTTTCTAGTTTGGCTTTTGTTTTAGTTCCAGCTTGAAATCTAATTTGCTACTTATCTATAAAAAGCACTTTTATATCTAGAAAGGGAAGACACTGACCAATATACCTGTCATGGATGCTGGGGAATAGTTCCCTGTCGGCTTGCTATACCACATGTATGCAGCCTGAGCAACCCTGCCCAGGAAGTTGCCAAGTCACTAAGCAAAGCCTTGGGAGATGGCCCATTCCCTGTCGGCTTGCTATACCACATGTATGCAGCCTGAGCAACCCTGCCCAGGAAGTTGCCAAGTCACTAAGCAAAGCCTTGGGAGATGGCCCAATCCACCAAGGCTTCCTTCACCACAGATGACAGCACTGCTTACTTTCTAGGCACTACTAAAAACTCAAGTCTTTCTGGAGCATCTATTTTCATCCAAATTCTCGTCCCAATACTGATCAACTAATTTTCCCCTGGTCTCAGTTAAATCTCCAACCCTGTCCTCCACCTCAGATCTTTCCAATTCATTCTTTTGAACTTTTGATTCGCAGTCCTCTCTAGTCTTAACTCTTCTTTTGCCTTAATTGAAAGCCAGCTAGTCTAAAACTTGCCATTTTCCTGCAGCTAATCAACAAAATTTTCTTCCCAAGGCACACACAATCTAGCTATGCAACCTTTTTTCTGAGCCTTTTATCATCTACTGATCTCGGTCATGCTCCTTCGTTCACTGAAAGCTTTAGCACCTGGTTCACTGTTCTCTCCTTCACTCAGGCGACATGCAATACCATGCCTCCCAGTTCTTGCCCTTCTTGTCTTCAGTGACCTGGTTCCTCTGCTTCACTCAGTGACTTCAGGATACCTTGAACCTTATCACCAGTAAAGGAAATTTCTGATTAAAAAACTCTTCTCTGACCACTTGTCTTTCCACCTTAAACTCCAATTAAAACAACCTATTAACTCATTACTTTCTTACAGCCTATCCTGTCCTCATTTTGTCTGTCATTCCTTCAAATGAAAATAGTGTTCCATAAAAAAAGCTGATTCAGCTTTCATTTCAAATAACTGCCAGAGAGCACAGCAACCTCAACACAACCATTCCCTAGTATGCAGAAGTGCATTAAGCAGACTTCCCATTTTGTCATACAAAAATGACAAAGACACTTAATTATCAAGATTTTAGGAAGTTAATTTTTACTGCTTCAAAATGAATAATTTTCAATGAGCTTGGCTCCCCCACCACATTTTTTCTTTTTTTTTTTTTTTTAATCTCCAAGTGTGTGGTGTTGAATATAGAGAGAACAATTTGGTGCTACCACTGTGCTTGTGCTAAGACATCAGTTTTACCCACAATTGTTTTTGTGCTATTAAGTATAAGTGCCAAAACAATAAAAAGGCAAATAATGGCTTAGTATGAAGTGTTCTGACCTCTTTGAAGAACCATGTACCATTAAGCTGTCATCTTCTGCTTGGATGATAAACAGTCCTGTATTCATTCTTATATCCAATTCTGTTGGCTAGGGTTATTTTTCTTGGACCTCATTACATGCTATTTAAAACTCTTCAAAGGCTTCTAATTGCCCTTACAGTGAAATCCAGATTCTTTATAGCAGCCTATAAGGGTCTACATAATTTAGCCCTATCTATGTTAACAGATTCTTTTTATCCCAATCTCCCCTGATTCACTAGGTTCCATCCATTTTAGTCATATTTCATTCCTTGGAAAGAAAAAAAAAATGATCTTCAGGGTCTTCGGAAATGGCCCTGTACAAAGTGCATTTCCCCGATTTCTTCCCATGGCATGCTATTTATCAAACTCAAACATTACCTACCCTTTCAGAGAAGTCTCCCCAACCACCCAATCCAGAGGGGGTTCCCTCCAGCTGTTCTCTATTACAGCACTGTTTCCTTTGAAGTACTTACTAATATTGCAAATAGTTATTTGTTTACCTGTTTATCATCTGTGTCCCCTCCCCCAATGGAGCACCAAACCTCATAAAAGACAGCTCTCCAATCTTGTTTTACATGTAGTGGGTACTCTAAATATCTGTTAAATCAATGGATACATTTCTCAAGTATTTATACTAACCAAGTAGAAATCATTCTGAAGTGTTCAGTTACAGAAAGTTAAATCAGTCTGTTCTCAAAACTGAAATTCTGGCTACTGTAATGAATAAGCAGTTACACTGCGTCTTACATATTAAAAAAAAAAAAATAGACCCTCTCTGGCTTTCACCTTCCTATTAAGGATTCTTGAACTTACCATGTGTGGCTTCTTGGTAACCAGGTGTCTTTGCCAACTTTTTCAATGCAAAATTTTTGAGGCCCATTACTTCCTAAACCAGGAAAATAAGATAAAAATTTATCTGGTCCTTGTACATATAACAGTGGGATATTATTCAGCCATAGAAAAGAAAAATCTTGTCATTTGCAACAACAAGGATGGATCTAGAGGGTAGTATGCTCAGTGAAACAAGTCAGGTGGAGAAAGACAAATACCAAATGATTTCACTTATTTGTGGAGTAAAAGAACAAAGCAAAACAGAAGGAACAAAAAAGCTGTTGACTCAGACACTGAGAAGGGACAAGTGGTTTAAAGAGAAGGGGTTGGGGAGGGTGGGAGAGGAGGGAGAAGGGGATTAAGGGGCACTCTAATTCACAGTCACAACATAGGCAGGCAACTGGGATGGTAGTCCAGCAAGGAGAAGACAAATAATGACTCTATGGCATCTTACTACACTGATAGACAGTGACCCAATGGAAGGGGGTGAGCTCTTGATAATATGGGTGAATGCCGAACTACTGTTTTGTGTATTTGAAACCATCATAAGCTTGTGTATCAATGATAATTTAATAAAAAATAATTTGGTTTTGACCAAACTTTTTGGTTTTGACAACTAGTTTATAACATGTCACCATAATCCATTGATATAGAAAAAATCACAATGTAAATTGCTTCTGCCTAGAGATTATTATTACTGCAGAGATCCAGCAATAATAATCACATTAATGGAAAGGTAAGTATCTATAGGATGTTGTTCCCTTCACAGTTATCCTAAGGAGCAAAGCCATGGCCAACTCGGCTATGTGAGATCTTAAATTTTGTCTTATAAATGTATTTGATTTAAACCGTTAAATTGTCTTTCTCTGGTAGATGCCTTACGTAAAGCACAGAAGAATAACCCTCAAGTTAAAGTCTACTGTATGTCTAAAGGCCATTATTAACACAAAATTATCTACAGTGAAAAGGCATTTACCCATGAGCTCAGCGAATCCTCCCAGAGGTAAACGGCAGGTGCCAGTGACAAACTGCAGTAGTCGCATTCTTACTTCATTGTCTGTCTCTTTCACAAACTGTAACAAAATCAAATTAATACAAAATGAATGCTAAATTACCTTTAAAAATCAAAACAAATGATTCTTAAATTTCTTCAAGAAAATTAGGAATTTAACTTGAATAAATTTAACAAATTGAAATTGGCTTAAAAGGAGTTAAAAAGTGATTAAAACTTACTTATTAAGACTCAGCACTGTGCTAAGTATATTGTGAATTTTACTTCACTTAATCCTCTTAATTATACCATAGGTTGCCACTACTATTGTATACATCTTACAAGGAGGAAACTGAAGGCTTACAAAGCCTTGCTGGTCCAAGGTCACATCGCTAGAAGTTAACCAGGACAGATATTGTTGGACCACAGTATTATAGCTACTGAGGGATCCTGCCAAGCACTGTACCACAGGCTTTTCGTGGTTGTGGCCCTCAATACTGTGAGGTACATACTACCATTAGCATCCCAACTATACATATAAAAAAGCAGAGGCCTACAAGTGAAATAATTTGTCCTTCTCAAACTGCTAACAAATGTTAGAATAAATAACATGTGGACTTGGGTCTGGTTGAGTACTACACCAGTTATTCTGACCTAAGGCAACTACCCTCTTCCCCTGTAAGCTACCAAAACAAATGAACACTTGCAGCTGCCACTAAACAGTTTACAGTATTTTCTCTCACTAAACACCAAAGTCTGTTTTCTCCCAACTCTGTATTCTGCATGCTTGAAAACTTGAAATATGCTCACTGTCTCTTCAAAGAGGGATATAAATGAGCAATGTGGTAAAATACTGATTTGAACGGGTCTGAGTATCTTATTAACAGAAGGCAAGAAACTTAGGGAGAAGCCTAAGAGTAGAAATGTATCTTAATAATGGGGACAAACATGCTAATTATGACAAAAAAATTATTCAGCTTATAATTGTGCTTATATCTGAATTGCAAATAGTCAGATATTTCTGGCTTTAAAATGGACACATCCTACCTTTTTTAAAAGTAAAAGCTAATAGGTACACACAGTAGAGAATGCAGTACAGGGTACGGCATAGAGAGCAGCTTTCATACCTTTGCCTCCAACTGCTCAGCACAGCTCTCCTCTGAACCAGTGCCAGTTTTCTCTCATACACTAGCATACACTATGCAGAACAAACATTTTCCTTTTAGCTAAAGAGCATCATATTATACACACCTTCCTTTTCTCCTTTTTACTGAAACATACTGTCCAATATTTGGTTCATCTGCAGTTTACAAGGTATGGAATTACAGAACTGACATACAGTTGACCTTGAGCAACACGGGGTTGAACTGTGGGTCCTCTTAATACACCTGTTTTTTTCAGTAAATGCAGTACAGTATTGTAAATTTATTTTCTCTTCCTTATGATTTTCTTAACATTCCCTTTTTCCTACCTTACTTTATTGTAAGAATGCAGCATACAGTACATATAACATGCAAAATATGTTTTAATCGACTGTTATTGGTAACCCTTCCTTGTCAATATTAGGCTATTAAGTTTCTGGGAAGTCAAAAGTTATATGTGGATTTTCTTTATGCAGAGTCAGTGCACTGTTCAAGGGTTAACTCTACTATAATTTACTTACTCAGCCCTTCTTAATTTCAGGTCTCTGTTAGTGTACCAATAATGTTGCAATAAATATTCTGATATGTGCCATTCTGCTTATGTTGAAGTGCATCTATAAGATGACTTTCTAGAAGCATCTACACATTTTTAAAGAATTAAGCAATAAACACAGACACATATCCTTAGGAAAAGATGCAACTTTTGAATCAAAAGTAATACACTACAAAAACTTGGCTTGCTTTTCTCACAGAAGTGAAACAGCTAAGTGTAAGTAAACCAGGAGTTCAATCACTAAGTTCCTCAAATGAGTCTCAATTAGTAGATTTATGTGAATACCACCTCTGGCCTAGAGATTTTAAATTCTCACACAAAATAAAGTCTGTTAAAATAAAATACACTTCAAGATTAATATACAGTGCTGGAATACCCAGACCACCCTATTACAGTTTAAGCCAAAACACAAACAAAAGAACAAACAAATGAGAGGGAAAAGTGAAGAAAGAAAAAAAGAGAAAAGAAAAGTCATTCTTGGACATTACTCTCTAGATGATTCTAATTCCTTAGCATATTATTACCTTCAAAGGAATGAAGTGTCTGCACTGACTTTCTCATTAAAAACACACTTCCGTTCAGAATAGGCAAATATATGGCAACAGAAAGATTACTGGTTGTCTAGTGCTGACAAGTGTGGGGAAATGGGGAGTGACTGCTTATGGACAGGGTTTCTTTGGGAGGATGAAAGCGTCTCAAAACTGACTACGATGATAGATGCACAACTCTGTGAATATGCTAAAAACCAATGACTTGTAGAATTTAAATAGGTTTAATTGCATGGTGTGAGAATTATATCCCAATAAAGTATGAAAAATGAAAAAAAAACACTTCCTAATTTACTTCTACAATTACTATAATTTATAGAATACTTTGATACTATTAGGAAAAAATGCTACACCTACAACTATTACTATTAAACTATTACTTAAAGCAGATTCTGTTAATCTTTCATTAAAGTCAGAATAACCAGTGGAAAAATACTATAAGTAGTGTTCATACTACTCGCTTCTGATTTGGAATTCAGACTACATATATCCAAAAGCAGTTTCAATCTAAAAAATGAACTTTTAAAACCAGTGTTCCATTTGAAAACATTTTCTTTGATTACTTGTTTCAGAAGGATAAAAGCAAATACCTGCCAAAACCAAATTATTTGCTTGCTGTTTCTTGTGTAATGCCGATACACAGTGTTTCTCTGCCAATCTGCCAAGTCAACCTCTTGCATGCCACATAACATAACCTGGGAAACGAGCACAGTATCAGGTCACAGTAAAGATTTAGTGAAAAGAATAACTCTATGACTGAAATCCAATGAACAGCTATGCATATGCATAATTACGTAAACAGCTATGTGCACAACAAATGATCACAGTAAGCAAATCCAACACAATTTGTGGCAGCTGCATACTAGATTCTTTGGTACTCTCTTATCCATGCTTACTGAACTCAAACTGAAAACAGTATTCTAGTCACCATTTCAGTAACTACTGTCTTTGTAACCACATCCCAGTCAAAATGTAGAATATTTCCATTATGTCCTTTCAGTCAAAACCACCATCTAGGTGACAAATGATTTCCGCACAGATTAGATTTTCGGGAATATAATATATAGTGTACATATGTGTGCACACACAAACACAATGTTTATAAGATTTATCTGTGTTGTGGACACCAGTACTTTTATATTGCTGAGTGGCATTTTATTATATGAACACATGACAATTTACTTATCCATTCACTTGACGATGGACATATAGGTTACTTCAAATTTTTGGCTTTGACAGAATAAAGTTTGTTGAACACTTATGGAAAAGTCTGTGTGGATATATATTTCACTTGGGTAAATACCTAATAGTAGAACTGCTAAGACATAATATTGATGTATGTTCAACATAAGAAAATACCAACAAACACCCCAAAATGGTATGTCACTGTGCTTTAATTTGCATTTCCCCAAGGACTAATGAGCATCTCTCATGTGTTTACTTACTACCAATATAACTTCTTTGGTGAAGTTTTCGCCCATTTAAAAAAAAACTTGTGTTTTTACAGAGCTTATAAGAGATTTTTTTATGTATTTTGGATATGAGACCTATGTCTCAATAGTTTCTACCTGTGTATAGATTGCTTTTTGTTCACTTAACAGTGGCTTTTGATGAAGACCGATTTGTCCTTCATGTGTGCTTTGTTTTGTGTTCTTAAAAAACTTTTGCCTAGACTAAGAATTTTTTCCTGTTTTCTTTGTAGCCAGCCTTCATATTTATGATTTAAATTAATCCTTGTTTATAGGTTGAAGTGGGGGTCAAGGTTTTCTTCCATATGGTTATCCACAAGATTTAGCATCATTTGTTTAAAAGACTTTCTCTTTCCCCATGAAAATATATTAGCACTTTTTTTGAATATCAATTGACAAAACGTATTTTCTGGACAGTGTTTCATTGATCTGTCTATCCTTTCACAAATACCACACTAATTACTATGACTTTATAGTAATTATCGAAATCAGGTAGTGACTATCCTTCAAGTCTGTTCTTTTTTCAAAATTGTTATGGCTAATCTAAAGCCTTTGCATTTTCTTATAATTTCTGAACCAGCCTGTCAATTTCTACAAAAAAGTTTGCTAGAATGTTGATTGGGGTTGTGTTGAATATACAAATCAATTTGGAGAGAACTGACATTTTCACAATATTCCATGTTCTAGACTATAACATGGCATATATTCCCATTTATTAAAGTCTTCTTTAATTTTTCTAAGCAATGTTTTGAGTTTTTACTATAGAAATCTTACATGCCTTTGATTAATCTGTTCCTATTATGGATGCTTTAGTGAATAAACTTCAGAACTTGAATTTCCAAGTGTTTGTTGCTAGTATATATAGAAGATACACAGCTCATTTATTATTGGCCTTGTGCCCTACAGTCTTAAATTCACTAATATTTCTAGTAGTTTTTTGGTAGTTTCTTCAGGACTTTTTTAAGTTGAAATGTTATCATCAGTGAATAAAGACAATTTTACCTCTTTCCAATCTTTAATACTTCATATATCTACTTTCGCATAATTGCACTGACTTGGGAATCGAATAAAAGTGACAAGAGTGGGCATCTTGCCTTGTTCGCATCTCAATGAGAAATAGTCAATGTTCACCATCTAGAATGATGTTGGTTGGGGTTTATCATTTTTGTTGATGCCCTTTATCAAACTGAGAAAGTTGTCTTATTCCTAGTTTGACGAATTTGTAATAAATACTGTTGTATCTTTTCAAAGTTAAAACAGATTTTAACCTGTAAAAAGTATATAACTGAATAATACACTTGATTTTGAATAACATACCATATTTGAAAAATACCGTGATTTTGAAAAACAGTATGAATGCCCACTCATAATTAAGAGAGATAATGATTCTTTTAAGTCTGTGATTAATAAATGATTAATACTACTCTAAACAGTATCTTCCATTCTATTCTTTTAATGTGTTTCTGCTAATCTGTATAAGCAAGCTGTTAAGAAATGTTAACCACGTTTAACTACATGTCATTTAGGCTGAGATTCCTGATTTTCATATACTTCCCATGTCAGTTTCCAAAACCTGATTGCTACATAAGCTTATTATTATATGCAATTAAAAAATTAGAATGCGAATTTTTCATATGCACATTTGATTACATAAACAAACCAAGTTTCTTACTGGAGGACCCAAGGTGGCTAAGTCATTACTGCATCCAAAGGAGGTGGAGAAGAAATGCCAAGAACTATCCTAAGGCCTATGTTCTAATCTATAGGGGAAGGACGCCTTTAAGAATTTACAATAACTAATCATTAGGAAAATACAAATCAAAACCAAATTCGATATCACCTCACACCCATCAGTATGACTACTATATTGGAAAGAAAGAAGGAAATAACAAGTGCAGGAAAATATGTGGAGAAATTGGAACCCTTGTACACTTTTGGTGGGAATGTAAAATGGTACAGCCACTATAAAAACAGGCAGTTTCTCAAAAAATTAAATGTAAAATTACTGTATAATCCAGCAATACCAAATCTGAGTAAATACCCATATTTTTACACCCATGTTCATAGCAGTATATTATTCAAAATAGCCAAAAGGTAGAAGCAACCCAAAATATCCAGATTCATGAATGAGAAAATAAAATGTGGTGTTTATAACAGAGTATTATTCAGCCTTAAAAAGGAAAGACCTTCTTACGCATGCTACAATACAGGTGAACCGTGAGGACACTACTAAGTGAAATGAGCCAGTCACCATAAGATAAAAACTGTACAGCTCCACTTATATGAGGTACTAAGAGCAGTGAACTCGCAGAGAGTAGAATGGTGGCTGCCAGGGACTGGGGCAAAGGGGAAACGGAGTTTTTTAATGGCTTATATAAGAGTTGCAGTTTTGGTTAAGTGAAAACGTTCTGGAGACTGGTTACATAACGATGTGAATATACTTAACATTACTGAACTGTACACTTGAAAATGTTCAAGATGGTAGATTTTATATACATTTACTTTACCACCCACACACACCTGATACACTTCTAGTAAGTCTAAATACAGTTAAGACCACTCAGAACTCATGACTTAAAAATCCGATCTTTGGGGCAACTCACTACTAAACCAGGATTTCAGAAAGTTTCCAAAATTATTAATAAGGCTGCATTTATAGCTGATGACTTTGTGCCCATGACATCATCAGTTCAGAGAACTTAAGACGGTCACCCAATGCTAGGATTTTAATACCCCTAAAACATCTGATAAATGAGAGGATTCAAGATTGTACTACATGATTTAAAACTGTGTGGACATTCTTCTGAAAAAGCACAAAAGGGGTCCCTCCCCCCACTCACGTTCCCTGTAATAGCGTGAGAGAAGAGCCTGACCTCCAGTTCTTTCTCGTCGAAGTACTGCAACCACTGGAGGGGGACAACCTCATTGAAACCATCAAGGAACGCTTTGGTCTGCTCCTGCACTCCTCGAGAGAAACGCCACTCTGTCATCAAACTGGAAAATAAAGATGGTATTTAAAAATAGGTAATTTGTATGTAGGTAAAAAGCTTTAAAACATCAGACATTTTAGTTCTAAAATTCCTTCTTTTTCTAAATGTACATGTTATGACATACGTTTACGTGTTAATTCTAGCACATCAATAGCTATGTAACAGGAGGTTCTTTGTCAGTAAGACAGCCAATTTGTGGCACTAATCATCTCCTATTCATATCTAAACAAAGAACGCCAAATATCGTACGCTAACACAGTGCGGAACGGCGCGGCGCGGCACGTCACAGGCTCTCCGTCCGCCAAAGCATTTGCCCCTAAGACCTGAGCACTCGGCCGGGGGTCTTCCGCGGAGGGGAGGCAAGGGGCTGTCCCAGGGACAGGCAGTGGTGATGCCTGTGGGCCATGTGCTTGAACGGGTTTACGGTCCTACTTGAGAAGCTTCAAGCCAGAAAACTGGCTCTACATGCTGATTTACTGGAGAACACTTAAGATTTCCTAACCAGAGTAAAAGAAATAATTTGAGATGGAAACAAAACATTCTGAGGAGACAAGTAAAGCAGCTGTAGGACAGGGAAGTACAATCAAAATGAAATAAGGAAGAACTCTGTTAGAGGTGCAGAATCTCTCAGAGGAGCTTCTGAAAGGAGGTGGCTCTGAGGTCCTGGGGCAGCAACAGCAGACACCGCTGAGAAGCCTCCACGGGACCATGCTCCCCAGTCCCAGCTCCGCTCCTCGTGTCCTAGAGGAAGTGGGTCGTACACTTTTCTGAGGCGAGCTTTTCAGAATCCTTGCTGCTGCCAACACCTTTCTTCAATGACTATCCCTCTTGCCATTTCCCCCAAAGGTGCTTGGACTACTTTCCAAAAAAACCTTCCTCAAACCCAGTCTCTCTTCTAACTACCCTCTCCTCTCTTTACTACTCCTCACACTAGGACTATTCTCCACTTTCTTACCTCCTATTCACATAAAATTAAACCACTGTACTTTGCCTTTCTTCTCCCCCACAAAGGAAAAACTCTCTTCACAAGTGTCGGCCAGGAGCTTGGAATTACTGAGCCCAATGCCCTCTTCTCAGTGCAGCTGGCACATGGACTTCCTCTGGCCCTGGGTATGAGCGCTCCCAACTCACACGACTTCTCCCGGGCCAGGCAACACCACCATTTCGGGCGTGATTTTGTCCAGTCCTTTGTTTCCATCATCGGTCTCACTGTTCCATAACTGCTGGCATTCACTCAGAGCTCTGCCACCTTTCCTCTTCGAAGTGTTCACTATCTAAGGACGCTATCATCAATTACCAGTTTTAACTATCACAGAAAGACAATAGTTCTTAAATTACCAAATCCTGCGTTCCTCCTGAGATTAAGGTATTTGTAAGTCATCTCTCCTTGGATATCCTGCTAACAGCATCCAACTGTCAACCAATCCACAAACCTCAAGCATCAAAAAATTATTCCACCACATGTCACTGAATCTGAACCATTCTTTTCCTATAACACCCTCAAAAACCCATTCCTTCATTTTATTTTATTTTTTATTATTTTGGTTTCATTAATGTACAATTACATGAGCAACATTATGGTTACTAGATACCCCCCATTACCAAGTCCCCACCACATACCCCATTACAGTCACTGCCATTTTTAGCTCTGCTCTGCCCTGTTTCAAGCCTACAGTGCCTACCTACTTCCCAGATTGCTGAAACAAGCCCTTGATTCATATTCTGACCTCCAGTCTTTCCCTTCCCATGTGTCACTCCCAATTTACCCTCCACAGAGAGGCAGGATTAGCCTTCCAATACAACTCTGATCATTCCTGTCTTGGTTCTGGCTTATTCCGATGACGATATATTAGAGAAAAATCCAGGTTTCTTGGAAATAACAGTTTCATTAGGTAACTAAGGCACACTCTGGCTGTCTTTCGAAATTCCTATCCAGCCATTATTGATCATCATCTTATGCCATTTCCAGAGCGCTATAGTTGTAGATTCTTCGGCTAGACTGACCCCTTTAATACTCAATTCCTCTGCTCCTGCTTACTTCCCCCTCCCAAAAAGCTCCCCATCAATCATGAAATTGCTTATTCATCTTTTAAGACCTAAATTGTATGCAGTGCCCTATGAAGAGCTTTACTGAGTCCTCCATAAAAAGAATCCATAGCTTCTTTCCTACTTTGGATTCTGACAGCACTTCATCCATTGTTCTACAATTCATTTACTCAGAGATTCACTAAAAACCAAATACCACAACTGGAAAAGAATATTATCACATAATTTTAAAGAGCAAGATTAAAAAATAAGATTAAACTGTTATTACTGTTTCAGACACTGAAACAAAATTCTCCCAAAATTGTTATCTTCAGGACTAGGTATCAACTCTCATATAGCAGATACTATATGAAGATTCTTTAATATAGTGGTTACCTAACACAAAGTATAAAGTTTAGAATAGGAAACTAAATACAGCTGACCTTGAACGACATGGGTTTGAACTGCATGCATCCACTCACATGTGGTTTTTTTTCAATAAAATGTTTCCCAAAACATGGTGAAAATTTTTTGGAGATTTGCGACAACTTAGAAATAATATTTTCTTTTCTCTACTAAATTGTAAGAATAAAGTATATGATACATATAACATATAAAACGTGTTAATCAACTGTTTGTTATTGGTAAGGCTTCTCGTCAACAGTGGCTATTATTAAGGTTTTCGGGGAGTCAAAATTTACACATGGATTTTGACTGCATGGGGAAAGGCAGCACCCCTGATCTCCGAGGGTCAGCTATATAAATTTTACACCATAAACATTTATTTATTATGCATTTCACATCTCAAAATGTTAACAGCATTTTTAAAATGCTCAGATTGTGCTATTTAATAATTACTGTTGGGTTTTGAAGAAAACGTAAGGCCTAAGAAACATAGAAAGCCCACTGCCTCATGCACTATCTTTGTCAGTGTAAATGCCTTTATTGTCTTTTCCAACAATAATAATAAATGCTCACTGCATGAAGAATAAGCAAAACAAAAATACCTCAGAGAATACAAAGATATATAAAGAAGAAAATTAGTTATTGGTAATTCCTCCAGAGAAAACTAGTTAGGCAGAAGGAGAAAGAGTAAAAGGCCTAGAATGTCATGCTAAGAAGGCTGTATTAACTTAGTAAACAGATGGCCATTAAGGATGTGAAACTGAAAAGCCATTCACAGAAGAATTACTATGACTTTTTGGAAAGCAACACACAGTATCTGTCTTTGACCTAATAAATTCATTTTTTGGAAATTTACTCCACAAAGGCAGAAATAGCAGGGTAGATGGATTCATGCTTAAGAAGATTTTCTGTTCCCTTGTTTGCAGTGGCCCAAATTGGACAATAGTAGCAGAAATGGCTGGATAATACAGAATGGATGTATCATAATTTACCTAGCTATCAGAAAATGTGTTAGATCTACTTCTACTGACCTGGAGGATGGAAAAAGCAAGCAACAGAGTAATGTGCATGATATACAATATCCCTTTTCTGAAAGAAATATAATAAAAAAACAAAAATCTGAAAGGAAGAAACAAAGACAACACTGAGAATCCCAAGTCTAAAAGAGTATTAAAGGGCAGAAACCATTACTGAAATAGGTCAAGAGGAGGCAATAAGAAGAAAAAATGAACATTTGATTTTGACACATTAAATGTAAGACGGGTCATTCAGTCATTCAGGATTTGGCACACTGTGGCCTCTGAGCCAGATCCAGCCTGCCATTTGTTTTTTGTCCAGCATGAGAGATAAGAGTAGAATACATTAAAACAAAATGACTGAAAAATATTAAAATCTCATGATTGAAAATTATATGAAATAAAACCTCACAGTCCAAAGTAGTCTTACTGGAACACAGCCACACTTACCTGTTCACATCTGTCTGTGGCTTCAGTTAACAGCAATACAGACTTTATGTGGCTAACAGGCCTGAAATAGCTACTATCTGGTTCTGTCCTGGAAAAGTTTGGATTCACTTGGCTGGCAAACAAATTATTTCTAAAGGTCAGATATTGTTTTAATAAAAGATTGAAGCCACAGTAGCAGTCTATTTAGAGAAACAGGCTGAATAAAGAACCTTGGAAAAACATCCATATTTAGAAATTGGAGATGTAGAGAAACATCATCAAAAGAGAAAGTGAGGAACATCAGTAATAGCTGGATCCACAGGATCATGGGCTTAAGCGAACAGTCTCAGAGCAGGTCGCGGTGAGCACTATCCAAAGAGTGGGTGAGAACGGGAAAGTGAGGCGGACGAGGAAGTGAACATCAGACTGCTAGTCAAGGCTTGGTTTCCAGACTTGGTTTTGCTACTTACTACCAAACAGAGCGCTTTGGTCTCCTCATACAGAAATAAGAGATTGCACAGTCTTTGCAAAGACCGTTTTAGCACCAAAGCTCTATGATTTTTATTTTATTTTTTTATTAAGGTATCATTGACATACACTCTTATGAAGGTTTCACATGAAAAACATTGTGGTTCCTATATTCACCCTTATTATCAAGTCCCCCCCACATGCCCCATTGCAGTCACTGTCCATCAGTGTAGTAAGATACCACAGTGTCACTACTTGTCTTCACTATGCGACACTGCCTTCCCCGTGACCCCACACACACCATGTGTACTAATCATAATACCCCTCAATTACTTCTCCCTCCTTCCCCACCTGCCCTCCCACACCCCTCCCCTTTGGCAACTGCTAGTCCCTTGTTAGAGTCTGTGAGTCTGCTGTTTTGTTCCTTCAGTTTTGCTTCATTGTTATACTCCAAAGCTCTATGATTTTTAATCTGGACAAAGGCAGGATGCATAGAGCAAAGGCAGCAGGGAAACGAAGGTTACCATATATTTTCTTATCTCAAGAACTTTGATAATTTTGAGAAGAATCAGAAGCAAGGGAAGTTTATATGTGAATTTTTGAGTAGTGTTGGGCATGTTTATAAATTGAGAGGAAGATTAAAATTATAGAAAAAAATAATTTAAAAAGGGTCAGTGAAAAGGAATGAATGTGGAACATCTTCCCAGAGCTGCAAACAGAGGTAAAATTAATGGTATAGATAGAGGTAGTTCTAACATGCTCTAAAGGTTCCAGAAACTAAGGTCAGTCGGGTATTATCACCTTACCCAATATATTCATCTTTGTTCTCCTCAGTCACCAGGATATTAGAACCTCCCAACTTCAGGTCATGTGAAGTAACTTTTCCCAAAATCTCCATGTCAACAGAAAAGTACATTTCTAAGCCACATTCTTCAATGTTGTTGTCTCTGGGTGATACAAATATATATACCCACTAATTAACAAGAATTATAAATTGGTTTCAAGAAAATGCCACTTAAAAGATAAATCTTCAAACCTTATCCAAATAAGGGAGTTATAAAATTCAGTATCGATAGATTCCAAATCCTTAATAGTCAGTTTTTTACTTAGCATTCGCTTGTAGAATGGTAAAGAGAAACCAGTATCGATAAACTTTCCATGAAAAAGTGCCTGCCAAGAAAAACAAAAAACTTTAAAACCTTTTAACAATTTTGTTATTAAGAGCACAGTGATTAACAGAGAAATCATGAGGCTTTACAGACCAAAAAAAAGCACTTAATAAATCATCAGCATAAATCAAGAAAACAAAATACTATATAAAATGCTAAGTATAAAAAACCATCTATTTAACTGAGGTCAAACACTCAACTATATCATCATCTATCAGTAACTAAAAAAAGATGACAAAGGAGCTTTACTAAACACCCCCACTCTTGCAAATATGTTTTATAAATTAAATTAAGCCAACTGGATGAAGAAATGAAGGCATCTGATAGTTCCCTGTGTGGTGCCTGGACAGACCCTCGCCCGCTCCCTTACTATATCATCATCTATCAGTAACTAAAAAAAGATGACAAAGGAGCTTTACTAAACACCCCCACTCTTGCAAATATGTTTTATAAATTAAATTAAGCCAACTGGATGAAGAAACGAAGGCATCTGATAGTTCCCTGTGTGGTGCCTGGACAGACCCTCGCCCGCTCCCTTATCTCCCACCGCTGAAGAGATTTTCAGGACCAACACCTTCTACCTTCATTCCTACTCATGTTGGCCAATGCAGGAAGCCCCAGGACCTCAGCACGCGGCGCTCTATCACCCTGTATGTCCATCTCAAAGTCCAATTCCATTCTCAAATCTCCCAACTCCCAAAATCATTACTGCACTTTGCCCTCTGAAACTCACGATCCTGATTAGCAAAATCCCCCATATCCTCCATTCTTTCTTTCAAGATCCTTTAGCATCTAGCCCTAATGGAAACCTGGTGTTTTTCTGAGGACTTTGCTTCCCTTGTGTCCTCTCAAAGGGGTGGCTGTTTCTCTCCCGCTCCCCTTAGGGCATCAGTCCTCCGCCTAAGGAGGACTTATTCCTAAGCCCTCCTCCCTGCATGGGCCCCACTCTTCAAGAGCAGTCCTCTGCCCCCAGCCCCATCATGCTGCAGTCACCCTCAGATCTTTGGGTGTCTCCTCTTTGTCCCTTCAGTGTCCTGCTCTTCTAAACTACTATCATAATTTTGGAGATTTCAACACCCACCCAATTTTTTCTTCACTACACTGGCTTTTGAGTCCTTTTAATGATCTTTGGTTTTTACTCAACATCATACCTTAGATACTGTTATTAGCAATGACTGTAATTCCTTCATAAACTCGATTTCAAACACCACCTAATTTTCCAGCACACTGCCTTTAGTAGTAATACCAGTAATTTTTGACCCACGGGGATCTAAAAAACTCCACTGACCCTATTACCTTATGATTGTCTCTCAGTCCCATCACATTATTTCTACCTTTACTGAACTGAGATTACATCGTCAATCATTAAAATTACTCCCTCATAAACATTTAAGTCCTGCCTCCTTGCAATGTTATTTCTGGGAAAATCCAAAGCCTAGCTAAAACCAGCTCTTAACCTGCTCCCTGCCTGTGCCTGGGTAGTGGAACATGCTAGAAATGCATATACAACCATGCTGACTGGGTCATGACCAACAACCTCAAGAGGGAGCTTAGTGCTACCCGGTAATCACTATTTCCCCACTCTCCCAGGTGACTATTTCATTCCCTCCTTTCCTTACTCCTCACTCTGAGTTTATGCTCTGGATTTCTATTTCATTGCCAAGACAGAATCCATCAGAAGAGAACTCTTGTGTTCCACCGCATCTCACTACAGGCACCTGAATCTATATACTTGTATTATGGATAAGCAATCGACTACTTCTTTGTGCACTAAACAGATCTCTTTCTCTCTTGCCTACTCAAGGTCATTGCTCCCATATTCCTTATCTGTTTGATCTCATCAAATTCTTTCCTCTTACTTAGTCATCACTATCAGCATATAAGCATTTAATTCTCCCATTCTCAACTCCATATATACGTCTACTTGCCAATTCTCTATGATCCCTCACAGCAAACTTCTTTAAAAGATTTGTTTGTTGTCTCCATTTCTCCTTCCATCCTCTCTTGATTTCACTCCCATCCATCTATCCTCTCTACTGCTTCTGACTATCTTTCACCTGGCCAAATCAAGTGGTTTACTTCAAAGACCACTTCATCTTGCTTGGCTTACTGGCATTTGATACAGCTGATCACTTCATTCTTCTTGGGACACACTTCCTTCTTCCCTTGTCTTCTAGGAACCATTCTTGTTTGATCCCCCTACCTCATCCTCGCTGCTGCTGCTGGCCCCTTCTCATCCCGACACTTGCTCCTTAAATGGCCACACGGCTGCACCTAGGAATCTTCTCCTTACCAAACTTGTATATCCAACCAGCTATTCTGCATCTCTACTTGGATGTCTATAGGTGTCTTAAACTTAAACCAGATCCAAATTCTTGATTCCTCCCACCCCGAAAATTTGTTCTTGCCACAATCCTGAAATCTTAGGAAATGGCAACTGCAACCAGACACACAAGCCGTAACTTTCTGTGCTACACTCAGCTCTCTCTCACATACTGCATCAGAACTCTCTTTCATGTATCTCTCATATATGCTCATGGATGCGGTTTTTCTATCAAAAATGTACTTCCATCCTGGAGTTTTCTTGCCGTCCTTTGTGCCTAGAATGTTGTTCTCCAAGATATTTGCATTATTCAACCCACTGCTTTCTTCAAGTTTCCACCCATGTGTTACCTTCAGAGAGTCCCCCTCTAATCACGGCATAGAACACAGCAACACGCTTTCCCTCAACACATTCTTATTCATTATTTGTCTCCCTGTAACAGAATTTAGATCCCAGACAGCAGAGACTGCTTTTCTTTGTGGTCTCATTTCTCTCCTACTATGATGCCATAGTGGGTGCTCAATATTTGCTGAGTGAGTGAACAGATAATAAAGTGAAAATAAATGCACTTTTCAAAAGATAACAGTCCCACAAGGGTTTCTGCAAAGTTCTGAAAATTCCAAGAACATCCATCAAGTGCAATTATTCGCAGATTTTCCTTTTATAATTAGACTTTGATTTACAGAACGAAAGGACATTTAAAGACCTTTTCACTTCATACATGTATTCAAAAAATAAACTGCATTTTGATACTCTTCCTATGCAAACCTCCTTGGTAACAAAATCGGTAAATATACATAACCAAAAATAATGCATTTCATTTTTTAGTCTTCTCTAAAATACTTTTGAAGTAAGCAAAGTTTAAACAAATTAAGTAGCAGAAAGTCAGAACTTACCATAGCAATAAAGCGGCCAATGAAACAGAAGTATGAAAGATGGTCTGGATTAATGGTTGACGCTGGATTTATTTGGAGACAGTAGTTGTTTTTTCCAGCATATTCAAACAAGCAATACATGGGGTTCAAAACTTCATGTGAAAGCAAGAAAAACCATTCTCTAAAAGAAAATAAGACTATTTTTAGCATAAATATACACGTGAATTTAAAAGCATCTTCAATACATGCATACACAGACCACACTTCTGGCTCACTCGGTTTTCACTAGCCTTTCTATGATCTGGCCTCCCATTCAAAGCTACCTGCCAGTTCTTGCACTGCCAGACCATAACTCGGTATTTCTCACATGCAACATGTTTGTTTCTATGCCATACTTTGTCTGGGCACATCTCCTCAACTTCAACTCAGCCTATGTAAGACGCCACTTTTCTTTTCAAGTTCGGCATAGATTCATTCCACTTCAGTATTCTTTTGAAGCGATTTTCAGCATTTTATCTGTATCAATCACTGAATACTTTGGGCTAACAACCTTACAGTATTAGCCATTTTTCTGCACATGACCTGCTCCACCTATCAGACAGGGTAGCTCCTCAATAGCAAAAGTCATGTCCTCAGACATTTTTTATATCCTTAACTCAGGCATTCTTAGACTATACACAACAGGTAGCAAATATTTGCTGGTGATACTGAAATATACAGCACTGCTATTACGGAACAGTTTTACTTTTATTGCCAATGCATTAACAATGGAACTAAAATTAAAAAAGGTGAAATCTTTATATGCGATAAGCAATCTCTAACTTATTACCATCCATTTTGCCTCATTTCAAGAAGTCCAATATATGAAATCCAACTAGATAAAAGATTAATAATTTACATTATAAAATGAACTTAATTTTAAGAAGACTGTCTTCAACAACTTCTTCTAAAGCAGGGTTCCAAACTGAAATGCTTAAAGTGACCAGTGAGGGAGTACAAGATGCCTCCTTGCTTACATGGGCCTCACATTCTCTACTCAACCACAACCCCCCATTCTTCATTATATCCCTAATAAAAGTTATCAGTTTTAAGGAAGAATTATTTCTGGGCCTATACTCGCAGTCCTTAAATGACTGGGCCGTGGTGAACACAAAAGTGAAAGAGTGTCCATCCTGATTCAGCCAACTGATGCCATGTGAGAAGATGGGACCACAAGGTAGGTTTACTGTTTTTAAAAAGAAGCTAGAAATCTTGATTCTTAAGCAAAATTTAGTGACTTTTTTTTAGTGTCAAGTAATTTAAAAAATTTAAAATCATAATGGGACTATCACTATGCAGGCAAGATTTGGCCTGGAAACCCTGTGTGTACAAATCCTTTTTCTAAAGCCTTTAAAACTGTCTGAAGAGTAGAGAAGGGAGGCCCTAAACAAAATCAACAAAGAAATGATAAACACCAATTCATAGAACTAAATCTAACTGCAATATAGTTGAACTGAGTTACTTCCCACTATGATTAAGACAGACATGTCCTCAGGGAAGAGGAACAAATCTCGTGAGAATGTATTTAGGCACACACACACACCAAAAAAATGAAGTGAATTTCCAGTTAGTGCAGATTACTTTTGGCAAAGAAGCCCAAAGAAAATTGAATACATTCAAACAAGAATGACTATCACATGGCATCTAACCTATACCTTGATACTAGAAAAGAGGGAGAATTCTAACTCGCAAGAGGCAAAAAGTTCACTTTCAACATATCCTTCTCTCTACTCTCAAATAAACTAGAGACACAAGAGACTGAAAGAGCCTAGAGAAGAAAATGAAGAGTAAAACCATGAATGAAGAAAACTCACATTAGAAGAAGCAAACCGTATGGCAGTACTGCAAAAAGTGATATTAGGCTAGGTTTGAGAAAAATAAAAACAAAATGGAAAAGCACAAAGATAAAAATCAGAGATGACAGACATGTAAGACTGACAAAGATTCCACATACCCATGATTGATGTCCCTGAAGAAAAACAAAACAAATGGAACAGAAAATAGAGTCAAAGATATAAAGAAGAAAATTTCCCTTAAATTAAGGAAGACCTTAATATGTTCCTAAAAAAGCTATAAAACAATCAGCAATGAAATAATGAACTTTAAGGAAAAGGAATGTGTAGGTACCCTGAGAAAAAAAGTTTTGTACAGGGGCTGGCCTCCCACTTCACAGTGGTAAGGGTCAATGCTAAAAAGACAGGGAAACAATATCTACAGAGAATTGGAGAAACTAGAGCAAGAAAGTTATATTTACCAAAGTTGTTTCTATAGCAAAGCAACAGAAAACATTCTTAAATATGAATTACAGGAATATTATCACCCTTATGAACTCCTAAATAAATCAAAACTAATACACTAATGAAAATAAAGGATCTGGGAGTAAGAAAATCATGGTATGAAGTAACTGACTATATCCATTAAAACCATGAAAACATAAAACTAAACCCAAATAGTTGAAGTAAATAAGGATTCAGACAAGAATGTGAACATTACAGTGAGACACTGTAAAAATAATGCCATATTTCATTTCTAAAATGTACCTTCCTTTTTAATGTTTAAACATTTCTGAAATTGAGATAAATCACAATAGATGTGATATGGACATTTATTGTGATAGGCAATGTTTCTGAAAAAACTTCTTAATAATGCTTTGGATGAGAAAATAATGCTAATATCACCAAAACTGACAATCCCACATATATATTCGCATCAGTTAGTTGTACCTAGTACCACATCTCTTTTTGCCAGCTGTACTAAAATTGTGATTTTTTAGTTTTGGACATTTGTCAAATATGAGTTCAAAAAGAGAGTTGTTTCCAAGAAAATCAAATTTAATTCTTTGGAAAGATTTATTTAAGTGCTTTGTTAGAAAATAAACTGCTGTCAAATTAGGTTTGGGCAAAACAACTGAGGGAAAGGATTCCCCACTCATTGCTTCACAAGGGTTGTCTACGGTTAATATATTTAGTGAATGTGTAAAAGCTTATTATGAAAAGGACTGAGACTGGATTAAAAACACAAATATAAAAGCAAGATACCCTGTTATAACAGCAAAAAAAAAACCTTCTGCATGTTGATCCATTAATTATGGTATCTCCATGTAATGGAATATTGTGCAGCCATTAAGTAAAATGAGATTATTAGCTCTACATGAGACATGGAAAGAAACCCATGATATAGAAAATGGCAAAATCAAGGTGCTACACCAGGCATACTGTACAATTAATTCTGTTAAAAAAAAAAAAAAGCAAATATGTACTGTAGCAACATATACACAAATTTTTATATAGAGAGAAAATGTATAGGATAACCAAGATAGCACTAATAATAGTTACCTCTAGGATTGCGTGAATGTTACTTTTGTTTTTAAAAATAATTCTGAAAAAAAAAAATTCTGGATTGCCAGTGAAAAAATGTGTCTTTTCAATACATTCACTGCATACAATGGAGATACACTTATTTCAAAGCATTTTTTTTATTTTACCTTGCTAGACCACCATAATCAAGCCCTTCTTCTCCTCTGAATATTACATATAACCGTCTCCTCAAGTCATAGGGTTTTAATGCCATTATCTAATTAAAAACAAAAACATCTCACTTAAACACTTACATATAGCACATTTCTTCCAAAACAGTTCAATTCAGATTTCATCTATATTGTCAAAATCAGACATTTCCTCATCTCACAGCAAAGCCTGTTACTTAACAGATAAACTTATTTGTCCCACAAACTAGAAGAGGAAGCTGTTAAGCTTCCTCTAACACACTTTCATATAATCTTTCTGGCCTTCTAGTATTAAATGGTAGTTCTACTTTGGATTAGTGACAGAGAGGTAGAGTTTGATATTGGAACTTCAAAGGTTAGAAAATATTCCCTCTTCCATCATTCCCTAAATTTTACCAAATCTTGCTAAAAGATGACTTGTAAATTTTTCTGACTAGCAACATTTAATGAGAAGCAAAAGATCTTTTTCTAGGGCCTGCCTATAGCACACATTCCATTTCTCTGCATGTATTTGGATGCCTATATATTATATAGAGATGTAAGAACTCAGCTACAGCAAAGAATTATTTGTAAGATGATGAATTTATACCTAAAAAAGTATATCTTAAAACAATATCTACACCAAGTTTTCATAATCCTTAATTAAGGCTTACATTAAGGCTACTAGTAAATAGGCTTTTGGACAATACTTTTGGATAAAATGAATTATTTCCACACACAGATGTCAGAACCAAAGCAAATACTGGCACATTTGGGTGAGGGCACAGTTCACCAGCAGGCCTCCACTTCACAGATAGTCATGGACTCAATCTTGCACATTAAAAAGACCATGAATCTCTCCAAACCAGAGTACAAAGCAAAATGAAGTCTACTTTGAATTCAGATTTACAGTTACTAAAATAAAGCTCAAACAGAACTTGGAATAAGCTAAGAATTTATTAACTCAAACTGAAAAAAACATGCTATAAAAATTTGATAATAGTTATATTAAGTATCTTGTCCAGTCCAACAATTAATAAAATTAAGCTAGGATACAAACATCTCTGACTTGAGAGGGTTGTTATTCCACTTTGGCTGGTATACATAAAGGTCCCTACATATCAGTACAAACAGGGAATTTTTGGTTTATCACTGTAATCCTTTCGAGGGGATTAAGAAGACATATGAGAACTTCTCAACCTTTTCAGAAAAGAAAGAACAATATTTTGATTTTTTATCTTTAAATATTCTCCAGATGATTCAGGAAAAGCAGACATATTCTATTCATTCATTTACCAAATATTTACTGAATACCTGCTATGTGCAAAGTACTGTTCCAGGTACTAGGTATATATAAGAGCAGTAAATAAAAGTTTTATGCTCTCATGGAGCTTACATTCTAGAGGGACACAAAGTAAGTCAGGTTGTGGTAAGTGCTACAGAAAAGAATAAAGTACCATAAATGGCTAGAATAGGGCTGTAAGGGATGTGAGTGGGGACTCTGAGATCATGACATTTAAATAGAAACCTTAAGGAGCTGAGAATTACTGTTTGTGTAATTAAAGGAGTACTTAAACAGAATTCAGTGTCTACACCAATTTCATTTTAATTTGGTAGTACAATCAAGACTTGTTTGAGTTAATAAACTCTTAAAAAAAGTAGATTAATGTCACAATGTGTCAACATGTTTCAGAAACTGTTTAAGCTTTTTTAGTAATCTGGTTCATCTATTATGCCTTTGTTTCTCAGCCTCAGTGCCTCTGCCTGTAAAACAACAGGAGCTATCTCAAAGGGATGCTGTGAAGAGAATTAAATGAAATGATAAATATAAGATGTCAATGCCAAGCATATGGCAATCATTCAACACATGAAGGGTTTATTATGACTATTATTATAATGGACACTCAGTAACTATATTGTTATAGTTGTGTTCTAAATGGCTTAAAATTTCTAAACCCTAACTCGCTTTAGATATGTAGGACACAATGAGATAAGCTGCACTACTTCATTCTGGTAAAATCTTCCTTACCTGTTGGAAGGAATCTTCAAACAGTGTCTGTCGGGACACATTGATCTTTACATGACTGGGTAGTGCATTAGACTAAAAATAAAAATGATATCATAACATCATGTAAGCTACAGTATATGTAATGTGTAAGATAAGACTAAAGGATTATGAATATAAGACTTATTTACCACTGTAGTACCTGGCACAAATAACGGAAGTGAGCAAGTTTCCACCTAAAGCTGCGTTCATAAGCAATTTGTGGACCGCCTTTAGTTCTAAAAAAAACCAAAAAAACAAAAAACCATGTATTGAACCATCACAATAAAGCTGGATATTTAATATTCAATATGAAACTGGAGTGCACCAAAGGCCTACAAATGACCACAGGGAAGTCTTTCTGTTGGAAGAGAAGAAATGAAATTATTTATTTAGTGGGACCATCAGGCTCAGGGAATGAGGACGCATGAAGAGGGAGACTGTATGTGTGCAGCTCTTTTGTAAGGAAGTTAGTTAAATGAAGTCTTAAAGTCTACTATTGGCTTTCAAAGAAAACCTTCAATAATCTTTAAATCTGAGGAAACAGGCTCTGGATACAAGAAACATGGAAGGAAATTCTACCACATTTTAACTAGTATGAACTATAACAAATAAAAGACAGTAAGCAGAGCAAAAGTGAATTTCTAGAAACAAGTGACACGCGGGTTCCATGGCTGAGCTGCTCAGTGAAGGAAGAGGCAGAGGTGGGGGCCTGTCGGGACAGGTGTGGTCACACTGGGAGGGCCTGGGTCTTCGATCCATGAAAGCCTAAGGAAGCACAAACAACTTCCACAATCTTAGGGAACATTTTGGAATGGATGGAAACTGTTTAAGTGAACTCATCTAACAACTATTTATGAAATGCAAAGTTATATACCTGGACTCGGACAGTAAGAGCACTACTAATAAAACAAAAATACTGGTTTTTGTGGGACTCCACATACTAGAAAAGGAGATAAACAGAAACACAATGAGTAAGCAAGTTATGTATGAAGTGCGTTAGAAGGAGATAAATGTCTTTCTATTCCCACTCCTCAAAAAGAATAAAAGGCAGTGTAAAAAGGATAAGGAGTGTTTATGGTAATATTTCACTTCTGAAAAAAGTGAACAGAACAGGATTCACAGATGGAAATATGTGAGCAAAAACATGGAAGGCATATGCCATATAGCTATTTTGGGGGAAAACATACCAAAGAGGGAATAAGTGCTAAGACCCAGAGGTGGAAGAAGCCTCAGTGTTCGAGGAAGATCTGCGCAGCCAGTGAAGCTGGAGCAGAGGGACAGCAGGGTCAGATGCTGTCAGGCCTTGGAGGTCATTTTAAGGCCTTTGCTTTTTACTCTGATTGAGATTGTTTTACGCAAAGCAATGAGTTTTTACTTAAACTAAAAAAAATATCAGTCTCCTGGCTATATGGAGAATGACATTATACAAAGTGTGGGTAGAGAGCAGAGACAGTTAGAGGTACCACGCCAGGTGAGAGGCAATGATAGCATGGGCCAAAGGTGCGGCACTGGCCGTGGTGCGACACTGCTGGATTCTGGATATATTCTGAAGGCCAGGTAACTAGAATTCTTGATGGACTGTGTGTGAGGTAGGAGAGAAGGAGAAGTCCAGAACGATTCCAAGATTTTTGGCCCAAGCACACATAAGAGTAGAGTTGCCATCAACTGTGGTGGAAAATATCCTGGGTAGAACAAATTTTATTATGGGAGTTACCAGAAAAGCATAACAAGTAGAGATATCTAGTAAGCAGCTGAATAGATGAAGCAAACTTTCAAGTGAAAAATGTGAGCTAGAGATAAAAACTTGTGAATCATCAGCATACAGATGTTTTTTAAAAGCATGCATTAGATAAAATTCACCAAGAGAATAAAGGCAGCTAAGAAAAGAGAACTGAGGACAGAAATCTGGGTACTTCAGTGCTAGGAGGCTGACGAGAAAGGGAGGACCCACCGAATGCAGAGAGAAATCCCAGAGTTTAGTCCCTGACTCGCGTTGCCAGGGCCGGGAACTGTTTCGTGTCACAAAGTGCTCCTGATAGACCAGATGAGACAGGACCACACACCAACCCCTGGATTAACAATGTGGGGGGTCACCGGTGCCCCTAACAAGTTCAGGGTCAGTGGGAATTCCCTGGAGTCAGTGTGAGGGACAAATCAGGAGGAGCAGTACAGAGGCAACTCCTTCAGGCAGTTTTCTTGTAAAGGGCAGCAATAAAAATGAAGTTTCACTGAATGGCTTTGTAAGGTGAAGAGCTGTTCTCTCTTCTGTTTGTTTTTAATCTAGGACAAATAACAGCTGATGAGAGTCAGCCAACAGAGAAAGATGAACTGATGATGGAGGACAGAGGTGATACCTGCTAGAGCAATGAAATGGGAAAGCAAGAAGGACAACTAGCACGCCAGCAGAGGGACTGGCCTCTGGTAGGGGCCACGGCAGCTCATTTACAGGCTCAAGAGGGAAGACACATGCTGGGAGAGGGGCAGCTGTGGTGGTGCCAATTTGCAAGGATGGCCGAGAGATCTGTCAAATGCGTCATCAGGATATTTTTATCAGGAAAATTCAGTTTTGGTGAGCACCTTGTTCTCTGACACTGCAGCAGCACAATGTGGTAGTTAAGAGTACAAACTCTACGGACAGACTGCCTTGATCTGAAACCAGCTCCATGACTTGCTGTGTGATTTTGAACAAGTTAGTAATGCTCCCTAAGCCTCAGTTTCTGTACTGGGCAAAGGAAAATAATGTACCTCAAGGGGTTGTTGGAAGATAAAATGAGCTGGTAAATAAAGTACTTAGAACCCTTGGCACACAGTAATCACTACATAAATATTTGCTATTGTTATTAAGGAATTATGTGCCACAAATCCAATCTGTACTAAGGCAGAAAAAGACAGATCTATACTAAGTAAAATTTGCTAATAAAACTTGAGGCTAAACTTTATGTCTTCACTAAATAGCATTTAAGAACTTCATGTTTTCACTTACACAGATGACTTTCCATTTCGAGGATCTTTGAATGTTGTGGTTCTTGTATTATGATCAACAAAGTACCTGACACCTTCCCGAGTATACCTGATTTCCCAGCCTTCTGGCAGAGGTTCTTCATTCTGTAAGCTAAAGTTACAGTGTTTCAGTCACAGTTTTGTTCTAGGCACATCTGCACAAAGGTTTACTTCAATCTATCTACAAACGTGTGTAAGAGGACTTAAGTAGGGCTGTCGTATATACGTACCCTTGAGTTCTTGGGTCTTCCCACTGGGTTGTTTTTGTGTTATGATTCACGAAGTAAACTCTGTCTGTTGAATCCACTCTTTTTTCTAAAAAATACAGTGAGTATACCATTAATAACACTTGTTATATATACCTTTCGGATATTTTTACCAACAACATATTAGCTTACCCCAGCCTGGTGGCAAAGGGCCATACGGGTCATTTTCTGCAGCTAACATTGAAGCCTAATTGGGGACAAGGTTAGGGGGGGAATAAAAATAAAACAGTATTTTAACATAAAAGCAGAGATAAACTAAACACTTGGCAAATCACTTTTTATCGTACTTTTCTAAAAAATATGATACAGGAATGTGAATATAGTAGTTTCAAGAAACAAAGTCCTAAAAATGTTATGAGTTAATAGGAGTCAGTTGATACTATTGCTAGTTTTTCAAAAATGATTTAGAAATAACATACTGACATCAATATTCTAATCTCCTAACCTTCCATAATAATCTATAGGAACAAAATGAGATGAGAGAAAGATATAGAAAATTGTGGTATTTAAATGAGGTAATATTCTGTTTAAAAGTAGAACAATTATCAGTTCTCTATACAGATGCCTATTAATAAAACCAATATTAAACTCAGTTATCATCTATACACAAAAAAACTTTTATCTAAATATTAGTATCTTTTACATATTTGTACATAAATAAAAATCCATTTATGCTTACATATTATTACAAACCAGAAATACATTAAGAAAACAAATACTACAGCACCGATTTTAAAAGAATGACAGAAAAATCATGACCTGTAAAATCATTTCTCAATGATAAAGTATATGCATCTTAATATTTCATAACCTAGTAACAGACACTGTTAATTGTACTCAATACCCACTTCTCCCCCTTTTCTTGAAAATCAAACAACTTTTTGAGGTAGCAGTTAGTTTTCATCTAAGAATACTCTATTCCTTGAGGAGGGAGATGTCTAGGCTGGCATGTACATACAGTGAGACAACGAATTTGACCGGATCTGTACTGCTGGAACTCAACCAGGAGTTGGGAGGGGTGCAAGTTGTAGCACTCCAAAATCTTATGACTATAGACTATCTACGGTTAAAAGAACATATGGGATGTGAACAGATCCCA